TATAGTTTCATTTTCTATGTGTAACAATCGCGAAAACCTAAGAACTCGATTAATTATTATCTGTTTACAACTTATTTGATATATTTGTTTTCGCATTAAGACGGATTGGAAAGTTGTTTACAAGAAATTAGCTGCTTCGTTGGACTCTCCGTATTTCGATGTTTCTACAACCGGTAGGAAGAAGATATTAGAACATTGGCTGAAAATGCAACGTAGATATTTTTGGTATTTGCTGACGCTCTCTTCGTGTACTGTTGCTTTATGGTAAGTGCTTTTGTAATACCTACTTGTAAGAAGAATATGGAGTATAGAATTACGCCTTTTGTTGGACGGAATCCAATTCTCCTAATAAATAGACCGATTGGTCAACGGAGTGGGCAATATAGAAGATATAACAAAATATTTACAAATTTTAAATAACTTGTCAACAATTTTTTAATTCACGCATCCCATATAATCATCACCTTTTAAGAAAGTTCGAAGTGATAATTATAAAATTATAATGATAAAATATTTATAAAATTAGTTGGAATAACAAAATACGTCCGCCAGCAATATCGTGGCATGTGTTTGTATCAGAGACGGATCCAAACGTGTTAAATGTCAATCTCAAAAAGACAAACCAAATCGTTTCCCCCAAGATAAAGATTTTTCTTACTGTTTATTTAGTTTTTTTTTTGTTTGACTGGTTGTCATTTTTAGTCAAAAATTAAAGAGACAAAACTACGAATTAGCATGGATAATTATCAGAGATAACGTATGGTTTAATCACGAGGCTGTCAAACATTCAATACAATGCCTTTATGGTAGTAAAGATTACTAAATCTCTTTCCGCTAATGTTAACCCGCTTGTCACATGTTGTGCTGTGTTAGACAAGTTGATTTTAGTTATTAATTTTAGTCCACTATTTTAGCAAACTTATTGCACGCTTTGTCGTACTCGTTATTGATTTCCATAAAGCAGTCACTATACTTGAGAGGTTTGGTTTCAAAATTGGCCAAATCCAAAGAACTGATTTTTCAAACCAAATATTACATCAGGATCACAACAATGTACTCTATACTATCGTGCTTCTGAAAACCAGCAAAATCCACGTAGTCTATGAAAAACGGTACAGAAATACGCGTTTGGTTACAAAATTGGTCAAATAAAAGTACTTGAACTACAAAATCAGTCAAATCCGGAACAGCCAGTCAAGTATTTGGTTTGATCGAGTCGACCATATTGTTTTCTCTTCATTTCGCGGTTTAGTCAAGTGAAGAACTTTATGCCGAGTTTCGCTAAAAAACCAACAAAATAATGGAGGGAAATGAGGTGTGTATAACAGAAACTGCAACAAAAATTGACATGGAAAGTCACAAACACAAAAATTGCTCTTCGCGAACAAACTTTTCGAGTCACTCATTTATTGAACCGAATCGTCTTGTACCAGTCTGATAAGGCTTTGTGTCCTCGTAATAAGGTTGTAAAAGACGTTATGCTCTCTTAGGATGATATAGTTGTGTGTTTTGACATACACTTTTTGTCTAACAAAGTCTCTATTCTCTTTAGTTATTCTGGAATCCTTATTCTACAAAAGATCCTCATTTCACGCTATAGTTTTTTATTAGAAATATTTTAATAGCAGTAGAGCGTGAAAGAGTCCGTCCAGGGAAGTATTGCTACCTTACCTATTTCTGCCGCCAAGTATTTATTATTTTATTAGCATTACTGCGTTCCGATTTTGAAGCGTAAGGGTGTTGGTGAAATTACAGGCACATGGGACTTATCAACTTATGCCTCAGAGTGACGGGCGCAGTGGCAGTATCCTTCAGATATTTGTGATTTAAAGCTATGAGTGGCTCTGCAACTGTTGCAGACAGCGTGTAGCTTACGATCAGGTGTACAACTTGTTCGTCCCGTCACTTGATGTTATAAAAAAAAGAAAAAAATATTAATCTTGTTTATTTCCAGGTATATCCACCCTCTAACAGATGACATAGAGTACAATTACCCAGCTACAGTAAGATTTCCATATGATTCGTCAGTGCAGACCACGGAACGGTACATCGTTGCCTATATTCTTGTCCTGTTCATGTTCAATTACATCTCTTATTTCGTAATCGTCAATGACCTCATTATGCAAGCCCAGCTAATACCTCTGGTGTGCCAGTATGCAATTCTCTGTGACTGTTTTGAGAATATCATTACCGACTGTAGCGAGAGTTTTCCAGGTACAATATTTGGTCAAATTTCTCTTCTAACATGTAACATCGAGTGTAGTGTGCGATGTTTGATAATAGCTAACATATTGTTCACAGGTTTAGACGGTAGACAATTGTTTGCAAATAAGAAATTTGAACTTGTGTATACTTCGAGATTGAGAAAATTGGTAGAGCAGCATAAAACAATTTTAGCGTAGGTATTTTATTTTATAGAAAAGCATAGATGGCCAACTCAATCAACCCGTCCGAGTTTTAACTAGATTTTTACCCAAAGCCGGATTTTATCCCATTTCTTCCCAAAATGGTAACTGGAAACCATTATACACGTAAAATTTAATAATAATAATAATACATATACTTATAACATCGCTCTAGAAAGATCCTGTATAGCGGGTGCCACAGACGCACACATAGACAACCACAAATTACGCTCAAACTCATGAGAGTAATAAATGTAGTACATACAAATATTTCTGCCGACCCGGGAATCGAACCCGGCGTGGTAGCCCAGCATGATAACCATAAGGCCACAGAGGCAGATAGAAAACAATACGGAATTTGGTATAATTCCATACTTATTAGAAATTTCAATGTAAAAAACATATTTTAACCGAAAAAGAGGCAACTCCTCACTATTTTGGACTAATATCAATACATTTTAACAAAACTCTATTTACAAGTATTTACCAGGTGTAAATAGTTTTTGCCCTCGATTTCGGGCGTTTGTGGGTTTTAACCCGATTTAAACCCGGACGCTTGCCCATCTCTGTATACAAGACAACCTCAAAATTGTATTTACTAAATGTTTATACTCAAAATTTCAGCTACACACAGGACTTACGGCAAGCTCTAAATGCTCCAATGTTGGGACAGTTGATGGCGAGTGGAATTCTCATATGTTTAGCTGGTTATCAATTAACGGCGGTAAAACTATTACATAATCTACATAACTTTGTAGAACCGTAATACGCATTGAAGACTCTACATCTTTCTTGCAGGCTTTGAACAAAAGCATGGTCAGGACAATAATGAACCTCCTTTATTTATCGTATAATATGTATATGTTCTACCTCCTGTGCAATTGGTGCGAAGAGATTAAAATGCAGGTTAGATTTCGAATGTTTTTAACTGACTTCAAAAGGTTCTCAATTCGACAGCAATTTTTTGTGTGTATGTTACACAATTACATTTGTAAACCAATTATGATGTTCCTTTTTTTTGAAAAGAGGGTACCTCATTATTGGTCCCATTTAAATTTTAAGAATATATTCCAACTGTAAGGGTGGAATACCAGGGGATGAATCTGGTTTCGCACCATTTCCGGTAACCGATTTCATTAAAATTTGGCAAATAGATTCCACGAGCTTTTGAGGTCGGTTTTTATTTACAAAAGAGTTATAATGGTTATACTTACGCCATTATTCCAATTTTTATACTATTATAACTTTTTTGATTCATTTTGACAATAATTTTATTACTTGTGGTGTCAATTATGTACATTTGTATTAATTGTTACTAATTATACTTTATTTGTTTGTAAAATACTAAAAACCTCGTTGGACTATATTAATAACATCATAAACAATAACTTATGTTCCATGATTTTTACAAAACATAATCTCTCACCGTTTTGTTGTACCGTCTGACACTTCTTAGATCTATATTTAGTAAGTAAAGTAGTAAGTTCAAACGTGTACTCCCGACGAACCTCATTCGCGCTTCTGCGTTTTGCACAGAGTTATCACAGATTAGAACGATATACCTCTATATTACTATATATATTTAGCAGAGCGATATATCTCTATATTATTATATCTATTTAGTAGCAGTAGAGCTCTTTGTGAAAGTGTTTAACAAGAAAAGTACTGCCACATTACCCATTCCTAGCCAAGCGGTAATGTTCAGGGTTACTGTGTTCCCGTTTTAAAGGGAAAGCTGACGAACTTACAGACACGTGGGATTTGTAAGTTTATGTCGCAGGCTGACGGGCGCAGTGGTAGTGTACTCTCAGATCTTTGCAATTTAAAGCTCTGCGTGGCATTGCACTGTCATGGTTAGGCGTGTCGCTTATCATCAGGCACAGGACTTGTTCGTCCCGTCACTTGATCCCGTCACTTAATATATAATATAAAAAAATATTTTTATGTTTCTACGAATGTAAAATGTGATGAAGTATTAAAAGCCATGGAACAGAAGTTGATGTTTTCTGATGTTAATAATATAGTTCCACAAGGTTAACAGTATTATTAGTTAGTTAGTAGCAGTAGCTCCTTGTGAAAGAGTTCGTCCAGGGTAGTACTGCCACCTTACCTATTAACTGCCGCCAAGCAGTAATGTCAGCATTACTGTGTTCCGGAAATTACAGGCACATGGGACTTGTTAACTTATGTCTCAGGGTAAGGGGCGCAGTGGCAGTGCCCTCTCAAATCTTTGCGATTTAGCGTCTTGTTACTTGTTATCATAAAAAAAGAATATTTTTGTATGAATGTAAAATGTAATGAATTATTCAGAACATAAGTTAATGTTTTTTGGTGTTAATACTATAGTTCTACAAGATTGTTAGTCTTTTATAAATATCCCTCGTACATGACATTTATTATGTTTATGTAGAGTCGTCGAGTCGGAGATTCAGTTTATTTATCGGGTTGGGAGCGTGGCGTGGTTGTGTTGAATGGCGTCCGCGCAAGGCTCATGATTGTGGTGGCTAGAGCCAATAAGCCACTTGTTATTTCTGCTGGAGGAATTTACGACGTTTCACTGATGTCGTACTCTACAGTAAGTTTATTACTTTTTCTTTAGAATTAAACTAGAAACAGGGAACGTATTACAATGTATACCCCTTTGTGACAATGTGACCTTCTCCATCGTCACCTCACCTTTTTAGCACCTTTACTTTGGTTCCTAGTCACTTATTTTCAAATTTTGAATCGTTCTTTAATTCCTTTCCTTCGTCATTCTCACTATACAGTCTATCGATTAGTACTCAGAAAAAAATCGATCGAAGGAATTTTTTCTGAGTGTTCGATCTTTATATTAAAATAATGTTCAAAGGTTGTTTGAACACTCACTATGTCTCGTTCCGTCGTCACTCTCTACCAAACTCCCGAAACGAGCACACGTGCTGTCTCTCATCGTCCTAAATTACAAATACAATGGTTTCTTATATACGTTTAACCATGTAACGTGTTTATACACATACATCACACACATTTTCTGGAAAAGTTAAATAATGTCGAAGTTCTGATACGTCTAGAATGACAAACCTCCACAAAGACACTAACAGGACTCTGCAGGCTACATTACAATCTACAGGACATGCTTAAGTAAAGGTGATAAAAAGGTGGGGTGACGATGGAGGAGGTCGCATCGTCACACCTTTATTCCCAATTAGCCTTCTATGGTGATATATAAAGAACACGGCTACAACATCACCCAAATCAACTTGCCAAGCCCCGCTAGTCATGCCTGAAAGTATAAGACGACTAAAAAAGGCGTGACATATTTGACCACGACAGTCAGCAAAATACCTGACTTAACTATCTGTAGGGCTGGGCTCCACTGGGAGTAGCACCCTTTTTAATGTGGTACTACAACCCAGCTGTTTATAGCTAACAACGCTGATTGCAGGATAAATAAAAAGTATACAATGTGTATTTGTAAAAACTTAATAATTTTTAATATTGATTGATTTTTAATGAATACTGAACATATTTTCATGATATTTGTTACAATTATTTCACTAGTTTTTTATAATTATTAATAACAAAGATAGAACCCAATCTAGGGCAACCGCTCTACCAACTGAGCTCCAGATAGAGTCAGCAGACCTCACGAATTTTTGTTCTTTGTTTTTCAAATGGAGTCAAGTAGCCTAACATCACTTAAAAATAGGTTCTTGATATTTTTTGATTTATTTGCCTAAGGGTGCGAAAAGATGTACCGAATGTGCCGCAAACGCGCTGCATGTGCGCTGCACTTGCACTGCACGTGTGCTGCTTGCGTGCAGTTAAGTACATGCTAATGTATGTGGTGCGCGAATGGCCCCCGAACAAATTGCATAACATAATGTTCTGTACGCACCCTAACATTTATTTATGACACCAAGAAATTTATTACAACATTATAATTAATTCAGAATACTAGTTCCGTTTTCACTAAAAAGTTAAGCTAAAAACTAAAGTTTACAATACTGCTACAGCAACTTTATTCTGTTAGCTGCCCGATTTTATAGCACATAAGTGTATATATAGATTTATCAGTTAAAGCTCTTTATTCTCTTTTCAGTTGGTGAAAACGTCGTACACTGCTCTGACAGTTTTACTGAGAGTTCGTCAACGTGATACGTCATAAAATATAAGACAAAATAATGTTTTGTACGTGTATCAAGTATCTGAGATAATTTACACTGCACTTTATTTTAGAAAACGAATTATAATTTGCCACTTCACTTTTTTTGTAACAAGTGATGGTACAAGCTAGTCGTGCACCTGGTGGTAAGCGATACGCCTTTTTTTTTTTGTTAATCCGGGGGAATCTGCTTACAGATACCCCAGCCCCGCGGGGGCAGAGCCGGGGTTATGTGGGACTGGGCTGAACCCTGAAGGGGAGCAGCCCGACCGCACTAAACCCCCGGAGTGTTCCTCCTCTCCGCTTAATACGCCTGGCTATAACAGTTCCAATGCCACTCAAAGATTTAAATTGCAAACAGCACAACACAAGTCGAGTTGACATGTCCCATGTGATTGTAATTTCATCAGCACCTTACAGAAATAGGTAAGGTGGCAGCACTTCCTTGGACTAACTCTTTCTCAAGTAGCACCACTGCTACTTAACTTACATTATGTGTTTAAATTAGGTATTAATTTGGGAATTTTTTCATGATGCTGTATCAGTAGAGATCTGTGTGAAAGGTTTTGTCCTGCCACCTTACCTATTTCTGCTGCCAAACCGTAATATAGCATTACTGTGCTCCGGTTGGATGGTAGTGAAATTAGAAGCACATGGGACTTGTCAACTTATGTCTCAAATTGACAGGCGCAGTGCCCCTCAGATCTTTGCGATTTAAAGCTCTGAGTGACACTGCAATTGTCATGGACAGGCGTGTAGCTTACCATCAGGCGTACGACTACTTGTTCGTCCCGTCACTTAATTTTATAACAAAATAAAAAAGTTATGTACTTTATTTACGACGACAAATTGTAATGAACTCTATAATAATTGCACGATTTAAATTCGCCTTTACCTTTCCATCGTCAGATGACTATACGTAGACTGGAGTTTCACCCCTATGTTGTGAATGTTCCAAAGATTCGCACGAAGCATTAAGCTGTCACATTTATATGGCGAACAACTATGGAGTGAAATTCGCTACCTTCAGACATATTCCCTAAACGCTATAACTTGGGGGTTTTCAAAGCGAAAGTGGATAGGTATTATTTAGATGTGCATGCTCCACCGTCAACCTCATGGTCACTTTCCATCGGGTAAGTTGAAGATCAAATGCGCACTTATTCTCCTGTCTGTACAGAAATCGAGTAGCAATTGGTCGTTGGTTAAATCTCCTAGCAACACTAAATAAATATGATTTTAGATTTAGAATTACATTTTTTAAATTTTTATACATTTTATATATAATTGTGCAACACAGACCGCCTCTATTAATTGCTTGGTGTTTAGTATACACTCCACTTGCCGGTCTGATGCAGCAAACGAATAGCTATAGGTGAAGCCTGAAAATCAGCAATGCTGAATCTTTAATTTTTTTCTCCACATTACTTATTATGTTATTTTTCACCTCACTAGCTCGGAAAGGCTTTCTTTCTCATTAGAAATCTGCGCGCAAAAGCATTTTTTCCACGCTAACGTGGGAAAGATTTTTTATTTGCGATCTTGACGATGGACTGTGGTGCACCTAACTTTTTCTTTCGATGAAAAAACATAATGGCCCATTCAACTACGCAATTTGTCGTATCATTACTTATTTATGTAATATACACATAAATAAGTAAGTATGATAAATCGCGTAGTTGAACGTGTAATTATCTTTTTAATACAGTTGTTCAAAACGTGACACTTTTCGTACTACAAATCATGCCGGAAGTGGAGTTTTCGCACTAGTGCTTTTTACTTTTCCATTTTTTTTAAATTTACTGTTGTTTCAAGTCTTAAACTAAAGGTTGTATATTTATTTAATATTTATGTGCTCTGTGATATGTTTTGTTGTTTATTTAATATTCAAGTCATTCGTCATTGAAACTTATATTTACTTACAAACATCTTATTTGTTTAAATTGCATAGGTGTTTTGTAAAACAACGGGTTACATTTAAAAAAAAATCCAAAATATTTTCCATAAAGATGGCTGATTGAGTATTAACAATGACCGAAGCTGAGTATTACGCGATACCGCTGTGCGCCGCGCCACTAAAATAGTAATTTTAATATGGCTGAGTACTAGCACCACTTGCCATTGTACTCTCAATTTTTATCAGTCAAAGAAATAAAATAAGTTTTTTTTAAATACTGTTTTATTTTACTTTCAATGTAGTTTTTTCGCAAATGTATTAAAAAACCTCGTTTGACGTGCGGATTTGTCATTTTCACTTGTCTCGAGACTCGTGACTAACTTTCTAATGACTAACTTTCCGCACTTGTATCAAAAATAACTATATTTGTTCTTCGAAAGAAAAAGTTAGGTGACCACACTTCATCGTCAAGTTCGAAACTAAAAAAAAATTCCACGCTAGCGTGCAACAAACAAGAAAGAAAGCTTTTCCGACCTAGTGAGGTGAAACCAACTATTTTTTAAGTATTTTACGGAATAATAAATTACTTTTTTATTCTATTAAAAAAATGTATGACTGTAACATTGCCTTACATTTAAATTTAAATTTTATTGTACAATAATTAGTCCCGCAGACTTCATTTTTCACCTAGGCTAGGGTTGGCTGGAAGAGATCTCTTCTAGAGATAAGCTCACCTTTGTATATGTCCTTTATAACTTGTGTTTCATGTATCTTTTCTTTGTGCAATAAAGAGTTATTATTATAATTATTGCCAATTATTACAATTTTACTTTTTCTTTTTTCTTTTTTTTTCTTTAAATTCATCATGCTTACATTAGTTGGGTAACGTAAAGCATTGATGCGAAATGACCAGTTCTTGGCCATGAAACTCCGATCATTTTGTTAGATTTTGCTCAACCTTTTACTTTCATCCTCATCAGATACTTCACATTGATAAACTTATTTGATTTAGCTACACGTGTTAGTAGCACATGTTCACAATCAAGTCTATTAATTTTGATAATTACGTGTCAATTCAATCATAACGTTTATTAAATAATTACTGAAATCGAAATGGGAAACGTGAAACAGACCTCGTGTGAAACCTCGTGAAACCAATGCCTCTACCATGAGATTACAGGGACAATTATCGCTAGCGACCGCGGAAATTGTTTGTATACAAAATGTTGTTTTCTCTTGTGACCGCTAGGAGCGCTGAATAATTTGCCATACAAAATTGTGACGTAATTTACGCGGTCGCTATCGAGTTAAACTATGGAATTAATATTTAATTACCGATGAAATGTAATTCCGTTTGATTGTTAATTAGATGTTTTGCTGTTCCCACACCACGGAATGGAACAGCCCCCATTGTTAGAGATATTATCTTTATTACAGTAAATACAGAATATTTTTGGAATATACGGAGACGCGCACAGGTCACTTGTTGGCGCTGTACTATTTCAGCTTTCCAATTTGTGATTTCAGCGCAAACGAGAGTTGATATTTAAAAGTGATATAAAGCCCATTTGCCTAATGAGTTGCCAGGGATGGATGGACCTTATTTCGTCTCTATTTCATGTCACAGTAAACTCGTGGTAGAGGCACTCTATAGTGCATAGCTGTGCACTAGATATTATTACGATAATAATAAACAAGTGTTAATAGGCCCAGGCGTTACTTTGCATAAATCCATGTTAATAAATATGGAAGTAAATTGCTACTCCGCGAAACCAGTGAATGTGAAATGCGTTGCCCCTGTTATCATAAGTGACATAATTGACATTTTTAGCGAAATTAAGTTATTAGCATTTCTGGTATCAGCGAAACAAGATCTATAACCATATCTAGTTGGTTTGTCTATATCTTGTTTCGTTTCAGCATTATGGTTAAGAAAAAATATCGTAATTTACATTGCATATATAGGTAATGCATATATGCAACTTCTATAGAAGATAATGAGAGATTTACAATTAGTCAAATTCTTTTTATACATAGTAATCATGTATCACCAATATATAATATTTTTTTATTCATGAAAATACAATACAACTATATAACTAGCTGGTGCCCGTGACTTCGTCTGTATAGAATAAGTACTTCGAGTAGCCTACTGTCACTATACTAATTTATAGTTTTCTATACAAACTTGTATCCCCTATTTCACGTCTTTAAGATTTATTTTTATGACAAAAAGTAGTATATATGTTCTTCTCCTAGATCTCATCTATCTCTATACCGAAATTCATTAAAATTAGTCCTACGGTTATAGACGTCATGAAGTGTGAAATTACAGGCCCATGGGACTTATCAACTTATGTCTCAGGGTTACGGGCGCTCAGGCAGTGCCTATAAGATCTTTGCGATTTAAAGCTCTGAATGGCACTGCAACTGTTATGGATAGGCGTGTCGCTTACCATCAGGCGCACGACTTGTTCGTCCCGTCACTTGGTATTAAATGAAAAAAGACAGAGTTAATTTCGCATTTATAATTTTAAAGAAATATTATGCAAGAAAAAATAAATGTGGGTTACATCACTTTTGCGCTGATAGCCTCAAATATCACAAGCGCAACCACAATCACAAACACCGCCACCAAAAATATACCACACACGTGTTTCACATCTCTATGAGGCATACTCAAAAGTTGATGAAATTCATTCATTCATCAATATCATTCTTCGGTTGACCGATCGTTTGTCGAAAACGAATAGAAAGACAGAAAACTTCAGCTGTGAAGTGTTCTAAGCTGCTGAATAGACAACGAAGTAAGCTCGTTTATTGACTAGCGAGTTCTTGCCAAAGTACGTATGACTATAAGGACTATATGGCGCGTACAAACACCACATGCACAATTCAACAAAGTGTGTTATTCTTTATTCAAAAATATCTCGTAAGAGCATTGACTTACAATTATATGGACGTCGGGTCCGCGCTAAAAAGTGTCCGAACTTATAGGGCGTTAAAATCGTATACAGAGCGTCATTCAAGCTGTAGTCTTCGTTTGTTCGACTGACAGCGAAGCAAGCAAAATTAGACAGTACTGCGATGACATTTCAATTTAAATTCAACGTTTTAGCTTTTTCATATTCCTTTACATGTCACTACGTTTGAATAGGTTGACTTGGGACATTTTTTTCGTGGTTTTTGTATTAGACCCGTCGTCCATTTATTTGTAAGTCAATGCGTAAGAGTAAAAGATTTGAATTGTATTGTTTAATACCTCACGTAACAGGATCTTTCATAAGTATCTTATTGGCACTAGTTTAATAAACATTTAATACGTAAATGAAGTTTTGATTGTGTCATTGAAATTTGTCCTTTAGTCATAGTTTATTACGACACTTATAAGTGTGAGTTTGCAAGCGCTGATGATGTATGATACAATATTTTAAGAAACTAAATAGAATATTTGTATCATATATCAAATACTATGTGTATATTAATGTTAATTTTGATTTTACTTTTATTTTATTTCTTACATTTGTAAATATTTTTTATTATCTTAAATGCGAATTTTATCTTGTTAAATAGAACCTACAGTAGAAGTATTGGATTGCATCCGGACGTGGGAGCCTGGATATCTATCACACAGGTTAAAGCCGGATTTACATTTGTCTGACGCGTTGTGTCGTGATACGTCAGAACGGTATCGGTTTCATAGATTTAATATGATTAGATTTTATGGACTATCGCAATCTGACGTGACGGTGCTATGCTCTGTGTAAAAAACCGATAACGTTCTGACGCGTCACGACACGACACGTCAGATAAATGTAAATCCGGCTTAACACCTAGCATGAGCACTAGTCTCTAACCACGGTTTTCCTTTTCTTAGTAAAAATTCATGTTAGCTATTTATAAGTTTAAGTAATGCAAGCGTTCTCCGCGATGACCACCTCCGTTCTGAACAGAGTTATTACAGTTTAGAGCTATCTAATTAAGTATTATTTATTTTTGTAGTAATACAGTCCAGGAAGGTTGTTAGTATTATACTAATAACTCTGTAAGACATTGAATAAGTCATTCACAACATGACTAACACTACTTAAAATGGTTGCTGCAAGCATTGTGCTTGCAAGTACCAAGTATACTCAAAACATGATACCTATAAGGAATGATCACATTAAAACAACATCTTGTTTATTCTAATCACATCGTTTGTTCAGTGTAAGTATTACTGTATAATAATAAATTTAGAAACGTGAATGCATCGGTGAAGCATTGTAGTTCAGGTGAGAATGGCGAAACTGCCTGGCTATTGCCTGCGACTTTTTCCATAGTCGTTAGTGAGGAGAGTCATGACCCTTATAAAGACAAGAATTTCTTATGGCGGTTGCGCACTACGTTCGCTTCGTATCAGTTCCGAATCCGAGAAATGATGGTCCGAAATGTCACAGGGGTCATTATATCTCAAGGTATACAAGCGACATCCGAAGCAGGTCCGAGCTTTCTAGATTTGCATAGTCTCGGACTCGGAAGGAATACTCAGATTTATTCATTTTATTTTATATTATACAACAACAGATAACAGACTACAAATAATACTTAGAACCACTACATATGTAACATTATAAATCCGACATCCAAAGGAACCCATAAAAGGAAAGACGTTAAATAAAATAAGGACGCTATTTTTTGCTTACTAATGTACATGTTGTTTTGAAATTAATACTACAGAAAAAAATGTCATGGTAGCATTGACCTACCAGTGGGAACATATGCTATAATACGATCAACACATTCTACATATGGATGATGTAACAAAGTACGTATTTACGTCTTTCAAATGATCTAGACGCTCTAGACGTATTTCTAATGATCAGCGAACGTATCAGCGTAGTAGTAAAGTGAAGAAATAGAAGAGAATGGCTTTTTTATGACATCAAGTGACGGGATGAATAAGTCGCACGTCTGGTGGTAAGCGACACGCCTGTCCGAAATAGTTGCAGTACTGCTAAGAGCGGTTACACACATGAGGTACTTTAAGCAGCGATGCAAACTATTATTTATTTTATAATTAACTAATTTATTTATATAATTTATTAATTTCACTTTTAAATTTACAATTAACAAAACAATGTGCATAAACGTATACAGAATTTTCGTCCATAATAATTCAACATAAGCGACTGTACGCGATGCAATCGCGCGTATGTAACAATGACGTCGCGCGCTTGCCTTGATGCAATCGCGTATAAATGGTGATGAAGTGTAGCGATACAATCCCATGTTTCATAAACGCGTATTTGCATCACTGCTAAAAGTCGCCTTGTGTAACCACTCTAAGAGCTTTAAATCGTAAAAATCTGAGGGCCTATGCGCCCGTCATCCTGAGAAGCAATTTGAAAAGTCTCATCTGTAATTTCACCAGCACCCTTTACGGTTCAAAACCGAAATGCAGAAATGCTCACGTTACTGCTTGGCGGCAGAAATAGGTAAGGTGGCAGTACTTGCCTGATGGACTTTTTAACAAGGAGCTCTACTGTTACAAAAACTTTCACTTGAAATTTACCAAGAGCTTTTCGCTGAAGTAAAAACATTGAGCGCGCTGAATAAGGTTCACAACTCACGGAAAACCGTGTGAAGTCCCCAACCCGCATTGGGCCAGCGTGGCGGACTAAGGTCTAAACCCTCCCCTGAGATGAGACCCATGCTCAGCAGTGGGGATGGTATGGGAATGAATTTTAAATTTTACTCAGTAACAATATGCGATATATTGATATCATTATCTTCGATATCGGTGTACAATTTCCCTCAGCAGAAAATAAAATAGCAAAACTATGTAGCTTCTATTAAACATTCTCGATGTAGGAAACAAAATTCCATTCGATGTCGCGTACTCGCAAAATTGCCGAGTTACGAGAAAATTCAGTATGGAGCGAACTGTATCAACACAGTAAAGAGAAAAAAATTCGCCGACGCCGACGACGACTCTGCGACAAAAAGTCATATTACAAAATTGTAGACTACCTACGTATTAGATAAAGATGCATGGAAAGGATATTCCATAGCATTTAAGTTTATTCGAAAAGAGCAATCCCTAGAGTTTCTTTTCATGGAAGCCAGCACAGTGAACGAACAGTAGCTTAAAAAATAACATTTTCAAGAGCAAAAATTTTACGGAATAAATGATTATTTAACTTTGACTTCACGAACTCATAGGGCCTTCACATTTATGAATTACCTCACCGAAACTTTTCAACCTGTACGTAAACGAGCTGATCGTGAGACTCAGTGGCAGACCAGTCGGCTGCTGGATAGATGGATTACCCGTCAATAATTTTAGTTACGCAGACGATATGGTGCTGCTGGGTCCCTCGGCCGGTTCTGTCAGGCAGCTTCTTGACATTTGTGTTAAGTACTGCGGCGATCACGGCCTGGTTTATAACGCCAAAAAAAGTGAATACATGATCTTTGAGGCCCGAGGAAATAATGTCACCTACGAACCTGTTATAAAATTGAAAGACGTACCTCTTAAAAGAGTGAAACTATTTAAATACCTAGGGCATTATATTTCCGAAGACCTCAAAGATCATGCCGACATTGAGCGTGAGCGACGAGCGCTAGCTGCTAAATGTAACATGCTGGCCCACAGATTTGCGCGTTGTAGCAATGAGGCCAAGTTAACATTATTCAAGGCTTACTGCCAAACGTTCTACACGTGCGCTCTGTGGGCCAGATACTCTAAAGAAAGTACTGGACACGCTCCGTGTCCAATACAATAATGGATTCAGGGTGTTGTTGGGATTGCCGCGATATTGCAGTGCATCGGGCATGTTCGCAGACATGCAGACAGACGATTTCTGGGGCATGTTGAGAAAAAAGACCGCATCCCTTCTGCTCAGAATGCGTGGCAGTTCCAACAGCATTCTGAAAATGTTTGCGCACAAAACAGCGGAACCCATGCTTGAGCATTTTGTTGACGTGCTGGTATGGCAAGTCACACCTACGCCTAGATAAAGACAAAGATAGCTCAAGCATGCGGTATATGTTTTACTCATTTTTATTTTATTTATTATTAATTGGTAAATTTTTCATACTTTCATTTTTAAATTTAATTTTTGATTTTTTAAATTTTTATTTGTACTTTTTAAAAATAATTTTAATTTAATTTAATTTTTAATTTTTAACTTTTATTGTCAAAATTTTACAAATTTCTAACGTGAAATGTCCTAATTAGGTTCTGTTTGATTTTAGTTACTACTAACCTTAGTTTATAAGTTTTTCTGTAATTACTAACAAGTGGACCGTAGTTGTCCGAATAAAGAAATTTATTATTATTATTATTATTATTATTTAATGCTTACGAAGCGTTTTAATTTTCATACAATATATAAAAACTTAGCTGCAGTGGCACAGTTGCGTCACGCGCGCGCCACTTTTGCAAACTAGATTTGTGAAGTGCTGTATTTCATATACATTCAATTGATGTAATAATCCCTGACAAGTGTAGTATTTTATATACAGTCATGTAATAGTTCCTATTAGTAATTTTTCTACTTGATTTTAGTTAATTTTCTCACTTCACTCACTTCACACTTGTACTTACGTGCCATCTCATTTGGTAAAAAAGCGGTTCCAACTGAAAACCAGCGTTATAGCAGGCGAGCTGTAACATTATGCTGAGTTGGATCCGTTTCAGCTTTTAGATAGGTATATGTAATAATAATTAATGTGAATTACCTATTTAGCTTGAATTATCTTAAGCTGAATAAACGTTTCTTTCTTTCTTTCTTTCTTATTTGTATGAAAATTAGTAGTAGCGAGTCTGCCAAACCACAGATGTGCCACTGCAGAAGCGCTTGTAAAACAATCGTCTAATTTAAACGCGCACACAGTTTAGAATCCGCCGTAGTTTGCGATGGATCAGGCTTCAGCAATAGTTTGCAACTCGTCATTATTCACTTTAAGCTCTGGTCGTCCGCGAGGTTCATTTGCCAAGTTGAAATTTCCGTTGCGGAATCGGGTAAACCAAAATCGCACAGCTTGTGGTTGAAGTATATCCGTTCGATAAACGTTCTTAGGCTACAAACTGGATGTCAGAGGGCTGCGGCGCGATGGCGACAGCGTTGCGGGTGTCAGCTTGCGTGATTTGACCAAAATGCCTAAAGTTTGCATTCTGTGTGCCATTCGAGCGGTGAATGCATATTGGAATAGTCATAGTAAACGATATGTAACGAATAGTATTTATAAAGCAAAAGTTCTTATATTTTTTAATGGTACTGTAGTGTGTCTACGTAGTAAGATATAACACCGTGAGCTAGTTATATATAGTGATGATCTATGAGTCAGTCGCTAGTGGGAGCTCGACGAGGTTCAGGTCAGGTCAGGTCAGGCGTTTAGTGTTAGACACCGTCTTAGTTATTTGAAACACCATTGCAATATAGTATCTAAAATTATACCTAAAATGTACAAGGTAAAATTTTTCATTTGTAATTATGACCTCTGTCCGTCTTTTGACAGTTGACCTGTCTGTCTTTATTTCTTCTTATTAAAAAACAGGTTATTAACTTCAGTTTACTTGGTAATTTAAAACAACTTAGAATTACTTACTTAACTACCTCTGTGGCCGAACGATTACCATGCCGGCCTGCCATACAGAGGTCTTGGGTTCGATTCCCAGGCTGGGAAAAATATGTTTATGGCCTTCAATTATTTCTTTCGTGAGTTTGGGTGTAATTTGTGGTTGTCTGTGAGTGTGTCCATGGCACCCGCGACCCAGGGTTTTTCCTAGGGCGGGGCTATATTGAGTGTGTGCGTTATTATTATTATTATTATTGTATTTATTTTAAACTCTCGCCTCTCCCAAGGCCTAAAAGAATAATTTTGATTTTTTAAATGGGAGAGGCGGTATTTCCCGGCAATGGCACAGTCGGCCGGGGTCAGGGACTCAGGTCCAAGAATCGGCGAACAATACGTGCCGTATCGAGCAGGACCGCCTTCTGCATTTATGCTGGAAGCGACACACCACAGAAATCCAACCGCCTCAAGCTGTTAGAAAGGCTGACTGGAATTAACCCATTTGCGGACAAAACAATTGGGATTATTTCAGTGGAGGCCACATCCCACATGTCGGTGATCTCGTACGCCAGGTCGAGATACTTCCGGCGTTTCTCGGTTTCAGCTTTTACGAGACCCTCGTCATGCGGGATGGTGACGTCCACAAGAAATACCCTCGACTGCGATCGATCCAATATCACAATATCAGGCTTATTCGCAAGAATAGTCCTGTCCGTGATAATAGATCGATCCCAATAGATTTTGGTGCGGTCATCTTCGAGTATTGGCTCCGGTGAATACTTGTAATATGGCAACCTCTGTTGTACTAGTCCGTACTTGAGAGCGAGCTTTTGGTGTAATATTTTGGCTGCCTGGTTGTGTCTGTGCAAGTACTCAGTGTTAGCAAGAGCGGAACAACCGGAAACAATATGCCTAAGTGACTCTCCGGGACGGCCACATGCCCGACAAATGTCTACTGTGCCGTCCTTTAGGATATATGCCCGATAGTTCCGCGTCTTGGTAACCTGATCCTGTATTGCACAGACAAAACCTTCGGTTTCCCCAAAGAGGTCTCCGAAATTCAGCCAATGTAGGGAGGCTTTACGAATGGAGCTCCTTCTCTTTCCATACGGACTCGCGGTCAGAGGTGCTAAGCACCACCGGGTCTCGCCATTCCTCTTTGGCCAACGATAAGGGAGTTAGGCCTTTTATCACATGTGACAACCTCTCCACGAATTACGTCATCCGTCATCGTCAAAAAGTAGTTTCTGAGATTGCATATCTCGCGGTTGTGCATGGTTTTGGCACTTAATAGGCCTCTACCTCCACACTTCCACGGGACATACAATGTCATAACTGACGATCTCGGATGATGCATTCGGTGAAAGGTCATCGTAACAGGCATTACAGGCAGGCAGGTTATAAGCTCGGATCTTATTAACGCCTGACAAATATTATTGTTGTCGTTGTCGTTGTCGTTGTCGTTGTCGTTGTCGTTGTCGTTGT